AACCAGTTGTTGAAGCGGAATGTGACAGTACTGTATCATATCCTTCGTATTACTCGCCTTCTACCACTTTTTGTCGCATGCGCTCTTCAACAAGAAGGCAGAGAACGGCTTTGATAGGGTGACACACTCATACTGGCTGACACGCCCAACCGTCCGCAGAGAACTATAGTGTATGTGAGTTGTTCTATGAATTCATGCCCAGAAAGCTCTATTATTCGAGGTTCCTTGCAGTGAACAGCCTTCAATGAGAAGAATGTTATTTCAACTTGCATCCTTCTTCAGCACTTTCGCTTCTTATTGAATTAGTCGCAGTGACTTGATTTGAAGGGCAGTGCTTCGCCTCTGAGGATCTTGTGTAGCACTTCTCCAGCGTAACTCAGATCAAGTAATTATCCCTAGAATCCAACAGCAAATTGTCGTCAACGATCGTTCTCTCATTCCTTTCTCCTCGTCATTCTGCGAAAGAAGCAGTCTTCTGCTCATTCGCTGTCAGCGGTGTCATGACAGAGGGTAACGAGGAGGACTCATCGGACTGGGTTCATACTTCGCGTCAGCGCTCACCAGCTTTTCATGCGTACGCCGGCGTCAGCGACTAGGAAAGTACTGATGTCGATCTGGCGAATACGAGTTTAAACTTTAGAAGAAAGGTTTTTTCATCTTTATTGATCCCGCCTTGAAGTGTTCACTCAATCAGCCCTTTATGGGCTGTGAAATATTGTGCGGATCGTCATGTGGTCATAGATGAGTCATTATGATTACACTAAGTGTGTCTTGCTTTCAGATCGAAGTTCTTCTGGAACAGCGTTTCATATGGGGGCCGGAACAGAGGACGAGAAACCTTCTGAGCTTCTTCTTAAATGCCTCGACAATGGTCGAGTCGACGTCCTCTGCTCCATTCTTTCACAAATAAGTAAGATGGTTTCTGTCAGCTTATTGAAACATTCTGAATCAATGTGGATTTTCAGAAAACAAACCGGATTTCCATGATCAAGTCGATGTATTGTGTTGTGATGAAGGAACGCTACTTCATCGTGCCGTTGGATTGGGTAAAACACTTTTGTATTTTTTCTCTGTGATCTTTCCTATTGCACATGGGGTCTCAGATCTAACAAGCCCGGTAAAACGCAGTGGGCGCGATTGCTGGAGGCGGGCGGTTGTTGCCAGTGTCATTGGTGGAAGGCTGCGAGAGGGCGTTTGGTCACACCCCACTCAGCCCTTCCACCAGTGACGTTGGCGACAACCGCCCGCCCGCAGCTATCGTGCTCACTGCCTTCTAGACCACGTTCAGACTTCGCGATCGGATAGAGCGATCATGACTGGAGTTATTTACCGTCAAACAGTGCACCCCTGCAAGGCCGCAGTTCAATGGCACTGTGTGAACGCGGCCCAATTTGAATCCTGCCGTTGCGGCGCTGCACCGCTTGGCCGTGGAACACGGTCGAGGGCGCGCGATCCGATCGCGTCGGATCGCGAGTCTGAATGCGCTCTTACACTGAGGATTTGCAGTTACGTTTATGTTGGTTTTTCAACCACTGCAAACCTGTGTTCATACTTCGTTGGTGTTTAGAGAGTTTACAGCGTTCTGGGCTAGAAGAAATGCATAGGTATCGTCCTAGCAGTTTGAGCTCTTTTCGACACCTGTACAATACTTTTCATTCGAAATGCTGGCATTTGCTCAGAACACTTGAAACCCTAACGTTTCTAAAAAAAGATACACACTCTTACGCGCCCCTCCAAACCGCCGGAGAGAAGTGTGAACGCAACCTAAGAGATGTTTTTCTGAGGATTAGTCGCGCTGCAGCGTGCGGCTCTGAACTACTCTAGCGCCTGCTGTTCCCTCTTATGTTAATGAACTTTTCTCGCAGGTGTGAGACCTGCCTTTTACCTGGAGCCCTTTCCCCTCTCTTTTTTTTCTGATGCTCCCGGAGTTACGCTTGAGAGTATTACCCATGTGCTGTTACTGAGACTGTTTTAGATTCTGCTGATTTTGTGAGTGCTCTTCTGTCGAACGGGACAAATCCTTGTGTGCAGAATGAGGAGGGAGAACACCTTATCAAATGTGCAAGTCGGACGTTGTGCGTAATGCGTTTGTTCAAGAACGCACTTTCGTGCATCAACGTTAATCAAAGTGAGTTGTTTTTAGCGGCGTAATTCACAGAGGAGGAAATTTTCATTTTTTTTCTTGTGATATTGTTACACCTTGGCTATGCCGGCGAACTCTTGCACATGTTCTTCCTGGTGGCATGCACCTTCTCTCTGCTTCAGAATTGCTTCGTTCTCGGCCGCTTGCTGCAAAGATCAGACTTATTCTGAAGTGATATGATGAGCTGAAAAACCTACCGAGACTACAGTTCCACCAAAATCACATTAAGGCTCACCAACTAAATGTCCTACCTCTATGCACCTGTCAAACAGTGCTTGATCATGGCGCATCTCTTTTTCATTTCTTCGTAACATCTTAACGGTTCTACCATGAAGGCTGTGTACCCACTTCCTTCCCCACTTTTCCTTACCCCCACTGTTTTCTCTCTGATTTTTTTTCTTTCTTGTGCTCCTCAGGCTATGCTTTGCCCCAGGGTTTCGAGCGACGAGGCACGTATACGTATCGATCTAGCGTTTTGAGGTACACCCGCTTTTCGTCCATTACCCATGGAAAAGCTCAAAACTACTCGCGAAAACGCTCAGAATCTGCTGCAGTACGCTCAAGGCGCTGACGCAAAGTATAAACGCAGCCTCAAAGTGTCCTTTCCTGACTCTCATATGGGTCAATTTTTCCTCGTTTGGGCTTGGACACTAAACCGAATCAAAGACCTTGACTATAAATCCCTATCCCTTACAGTGTCGGTGATGTCAGCTCTTCAAAGCGTGTTCTCATTTGTAGATGTCAGGATGTGAGGTTTTAATGTCAATTCTAACTAAGTTTGAAGGAGCGTGTGAGCAAGCAGCTAATGGCGAGCAACTGTATGTTGAGCTTCCCCAGCCTCTTCAGTCATGGTTTGGTGGCAGTCTACCATATGTCGCCCGTTCATCCCCTTTCTCAAAATCCATAAGCTATCCATAAGCTGACCAAGCGATGACAAATATCACTTGGTAATTAAAAGGTCAAGACCTTGGCCATTGATCAATTCTACTTTGGGATGCAGCATGCATACTACTTCCAATCACAATCGTAACGGTCTATTGAATGCCATGTGGCTAATGACCTGCATAGTTAGCCGATGTGAATTTCAAGCATGGGGAGTTATCTTGGCTCAGATGAATCTGTTACTAATTTAACCGCGTCCATAGAGATAGAGATTGGCGTAGGCGGGAGCCGAGCCGGGATTTGACCCCTGGATAGCTTGGCGTAGTAAGCGGGTTTCTTGCCACTGCACCACTTTCGCCTCATTTAGGTACTCAATATGGCATACATTCCACCCAGTTCCAGTCTAGGCAAGTATGAAAGCTTCCCTGTAGACTTGTTGCAGAAGGTTTCCTGCCTACTATGCCAACTGACCATAATTTCCTATTTGCCTAACTTCTGTTGAATTGTCATGTTCATTTCCCATGCTTGTATTGTTAACTGGGAGTGTTAGCTAGGTCACAAGGGAACGCAGCAAGTTTTGACTATGTGGAAATGCTGAGTTCTTCGGCAAATTCGTTCTTTTTCTGCCATTCGTTTGTCGTTTCATCTGTAGAGATCCAGAATTGCTCAGGAGCCTCAGACGACCGCAGCCTGTCCCTCTTTGTAATTTTAGTCTTGTTTCCACAACAGTAAACGGAAATCCAGCTTTTTTTCCAAGCATTTGTTCCACGCTTTCAAGCAGACCTGTCTGGGCACTGAACCTAACCCCTCTGCTAATTTTTTTAAGATTCAATCTTTCTCTGAGGTAGAAAAGATTTAGTTCGGCTTTAACAGTATCACAGCCTCTTCGAAGCATTGATATACCTCCATTCCTCACCTGTTGCTGGAACTCTCATCTGCTGCGACGGAGGTGCTCTAGCCGCTCCTTGGTCACTCCATGGGTAATAAACAACTTCCCTGTTATTAACTGGTCCTGTCGCCATCATAAGCTAAATTCCATATTTGAGCTATTTTTTCGTCTGACTTGCATAAAATGCCGTTTCGATTGTCCCTCAGCAAGACCCCCTCTCATAGCATACCAGTCAACATTTCAATTTTATTTCGAAGTTTTTACTTTGCTGTGTAGCTCACCTGCACATCAAGTGGAATCTTAGACTTTCTTTCATGCATATTTGCGGCTGGTCGTTTAGAATTGGCAGACTTGGGTTCTCCATCTAGAACTTGATGATATTGATTACCATACCTACTATTCGTGTATTCAGCCAGAAGGAAATGGAAAATGACCGACCCTTGCGTAATACCGCGTTCATAATTTCCGACCCAGAAGATTCGGCGATTCGAGAGGCTGTGCAATGGGAAAGAATACTCAGAACGCCGTAGCAGGTTCAATGCACGGGATAGTAGTCCAAATGGGTGGAGATCGCATGCCTTGATGCTGCTGGGCGTTCCTTAAAGACAGCCCCCGGGCTCAAGTAATACGTGGTCGTCCTTCCTTGTGCAAGTAGTCCAGCCCCCAAGCTAGAGACTGTCCCACTCTCGCGACTCCACAGCGAGCGAGGAGCGAGCTACAGCTGCTGAAAGTTCTAGTTCTAACGCCCACTCAGTTGGAGCCGCCCTTGCTAGATGCCCTCTGTTTCTTGGTGCATAAGCTCGACGCATCGAAGGATGCACGCTACCATAACCCTTAATTCGTACGCCGAGTTTTTGGAAGTTTGTTTCTCACGACTTTAACATCGGTGCTTTTCTTGTTTCTTTTGTATTCTTTTCTTTGTATTGGATATTTACTATCGGGAGCTGCGAAAAAGCGAGTTACGAGTCACTGCTAACTCAGGGACTGCAGAGCAATGTGGCTGCCAGGGGATGACTTCGTCTATGGTGATCTTGAGGATTCTTCATACGTTTTTGTTCTTCGACGAATTACTTATCACCTACTGTTCCATAACTGAACAGCAACTATCCATAACACTTTATCGCGGGAACTGTCTTTAAACCTGTCTTGCAAAGGCAGATTCAAAGAGCGAGCATGGCAGCCAAGGCATGAGATCTTCGCCCATTTTGACCAGCTATGCCATTTAAGCTGCACCGATGTCATCAGTAGGTATCAATCTGGCGATTGCGGAGATTGAGCGATCTGGCACTTAAGAAATCGTCGCATCGCCGAACAGTCGCTAGCGACCGGCGCCGATCGATACCCATCCTCTCCTCTAGCTCGCAGTTACCTGAAGCGTCGAGTCTCTCCAACCGCTGAATCGCAATCTTCGTAGTAGCGTGATCGAAATTTATACTTTCCTCGTCGCGCAGTCTCTCAGATCGCCGAGTCCCCCGAATCGCTCACTTTTCTGAGTGACAAAGTATGAACGCTTAGCTGGGACGTTTTGTACACTGACTTCGCCGCTACTTGGGCGTGTCAGCCAGTATGAGTGTGCACAGCAACAAAGCCGTTCTCTGCCTTTTTGTTGAAGCGCGCATGCGACAAAAAGTGGTAGAAAACGAGTAATACGAACGATATGATACAGCATTGTCACTTGCTCGCTTCAACAACTGGTGGAGAACGAGTTTGGTGCGCCAAACACAGCCGCACTGACAGGTTACGGGGCTGTTGTCAACCAGACGTGCTCTCGCTGCGAGGGTCCAGGGTTATTTTCACGAGGCATCTACCAGTCCAGTAGTTGAAGGGAGAAGGTAAAGGAGGAGGGATCAGAGAAGGAAGGAAGGAAAAGAAGGAGGAGGAAGAAAAAAGGAAAGAGAGGAGAGGCTTCTCGGTTGACAAGTGCCCTGAGACGCCGCAAACTGACACGTCCATCCGCAGCGAACTACACTATAAAATAGTTCGTTGGGTTACGGTAATAGTAGCCTTTAGCTGGGCTTTGTTTCTTCCTCATCACACTTCAGGTTGTTTTCTATGTTGGGCGGTATGTAATACTGGATTGTGTACTATGTAGTACTAGAAAGGATTACGGTGTAGGAGAGAACGATTTTTGTGTGAGGTTATGAAGGAAGGAACTCTTCAGTGGGTGAACACTTCATCCTTTTCTTGGCTGTTTACAAATAAAGAGAAAGTGTGCGTGCTATACACCTCGGGTCTGGCCGCTGTCCGGTGAGGTTTAGCCACATCAGGAGCTGCATTTGGTAGGAGCAGTGGTAGTACGTCTTAACACGTGAGGGAGATGTTATCGTCCAGCGATAACCATCGCTGCCACGAACTGCAATAGCATGTAAAGTTCTGTTCTGGAGTGGCAAAGCACGTCATGTTGTCTAGGCGATAGGTAGTATGTAATGAGGTGACTGGGCCATGTTTAGTACAGGTCAAGCTCTGCCGGTGAGAGGGTGCAGACGAGCGAACTCGATTTGGTTCTTTTCGGCATGGCGCCGGAGTTTGTAGTGGTTTCACGTGTATTAAGTCCTGAGTCAAACGCCGAACCTAAGCGCCCAGCATCGAACAACCAACTTTACGGCCCGGTCGTAGCAGAACAGTAGCTGTTCGTCACCCTCGTATTGGGCAGGGTTGGCTTGGTAAAAAGCACATAAAACTTGCCGAAGATCATATTCATTACAGTCCCTTTTCCGTGTCCTTGTCCATGTGGTTGTCCCTGTGGTTGTCCTTCTGGATCGGATGGAAGATTACTAGGTGTACCTGCTTTTGCCATTTGTTATTTTTTCCTCTCAATGCTTGATCTTATTCTGAAACATATTCAGACGAAGTGTCTCAGTGACAGGTTCCCCAATTTGAAGCACTACTGATACTCACCTCTTCACCACAACTGCTTCAAAGACTGAGCACTAGTTGAATAAGAGTATACCATGTTACTCATATCAAGTCTACTATCACCGGAGCTTTCGTTTGCTATCACTCTATTCTAACCTACTAGTTTAATATTCGGTCTGTAGGTTTGTCTGTTTTTCTCAAATGCCCGTGGCGTGATAATCAAAGATAGCTAAACTACTGGGGAGAACGAAAAGTCAACCGGTCTTCCGTTA